ATGAGTATATACAATTAAATGTTCGAATCCAAAATCACTTGACTTTGCTACAGGTCCACCATATATGGAGAACTGTGCCCTCCTGTCCGCAGCCGCGGAAACAGCCAGAGGATGCCCCCTGAACAAAGGAAGCCAAGTGGAAGGGCACCAAATACCCCCACATGAAAGACCTTATAATTCGCTTCAATAAGGCAAAATATGTTTTTAATTTTAACCCCTTGGCGTCGGTGCCAGAAGGGGTTTCAGAAGTCAGGAGACAGGCCGGGGTTTAGGGTCATGTGACTGCCGTGACACGCCATCATGGCGGTCACATGATCGGGAAAGGTCCCGATTGAAAGAGGAGATCGGGACCTTTCCATGAGTACTGGACATGTGTGCGCGCTCTCAGCACATATGTTATTTTTTAATAGAACTCCGGGAGGCCGCACATTTGCATTCAGTTGGCGCCAAGAGGTTAAATTGAGTAAGGGGGATTTATAACCCCTGCCAGGTTTACTTTTGCCATCTGCGTCTCATTAGGGAGATATCCCTTCACTTTTTAATTTTTTTTTTTTTATAGCCAATATAGGAAGCAAAAGAAAACTATCACTATTATACAGGATTTATATTGCATCAACAGTTTGTGCAGCGCCTTACAAAAGGGACAGTGACAACATGTTTCTGTACAAGTTCAAGAGGATTCAATTAGGGTTGCACTGATACCAAGTACTTGTACAAGTACTCGCACTCTATTTAAAATTAAAAAAAGTTTTGCCCTGTCTACTTAATGGTTCTACTTTAGTGATGGCTGCATTAGATTTCTTCTTTTTTTCCTCCCTTTTCACCTGGTTGTCTGGCTGTAACACACCTCCTGTCTTAGGGTGTCTCCACTCCTGGAAGGACCAGCAATGGAGACACGCTTGGACAGCAGCATTGTCAGTCTGGGGAGAGGGTAGTGTTAGATGGACTAGCCGACTTACATGGACTTGACTAACATGCATTTCTTTCATAAAATGTAATCAATGCTATGAGACAAAAGCATACTCACAAACGCATGAATACAATAGGCAGATATGAAAAATACAGCCTCAAAAGGTCTATTCGGTCTCAGAACCGTCTGGTAGGTAAAGCCAACACGTTTCAGGTGTCAAGCTCCCTTCATCAGAGCTGAACCTGACAGGTGTCCTGTCTGCCCTTAAATGACTAGGGGACACCCTAGCCCCCCCCCCCCCCCCCCCCCACAAGCAAGGGTTGGTGGGCAGAAACCGAACAAGTACCAAAAAAGATACCTTTGCGTTGCAATATGACCCCATAGAGAATAAATGGGGTCAAATCGCAATGCAAAGAACTGCATGCAATTTGAACACAAATGCGGTACGATTCCTGTCTGGATTGCATGATGGGTTCCACCAGCTCCGGCTCCCGATTCCCATTGCGGACATCAGTGGCTGCGGCTGACTTTACCTTTGCTCTCTCCACTCAGCCTCAAACGGTTCCAGCCATCTACTGGACCTCCTCTCCATACAAGCCCCCCCCCCCCCCCCCCTGGCTCAACTGATCCCCCTCTGTCAGACACCAATAATGAGCTTCACAGGTCCGGGGATTTAAAACCCCCACGGCTTCCTCTCCTCTCCTTGCAGTGCTGACAATATGGACTAAAGGGATTCTAATTGGGCTGCACTGTCACATGAATGGTACTGACCAACCAGAAGCCATCTAGCTCGCCACTAAAAAAAAAAAAAACTAATATCAGTTCAACCCTAGAATCAGTCCTCAAAGTGAGGGAATCCTTAGTTGTCACCGGAACCAGCATCCCCAGTTGAAGATTTCTTCTCTATTCCTGTTCTGGTGACAACCCAAAATTTTAACATTTTCTATCACTTTGACTTTCACTGATGACAGTAAACAGGGCAAAGAGATGTGGAATCTTCTTAACAAAGACAATAATAAATACATTCAGACAGGTGTTCTAATTCCTCTCTCTTCAACTAGTAAAAAAAAACTGTTTTGCTTTAGTTAAGGATTGGTAAGCTGCAATATATTTAATTTTTATTTTGGATTTATTATTGCTTTATGGGAAAGGGGTGTTCTGTCCAGGACAGAGAGATGTGTACTTTTAGGACAGAGAGGACAACCGGTACATAAGAGGCCATCTACGTCAAACTGGAACAACCATCCTTCAAGGGCCTTCAAATCCATCTGACTTCCACATACAGTATAAAGCTGTTTTACCGTCTCTACCCCGTGATCTGACAACCGTTCCCAGCTTTAACCGTGTAAACCGAGGAATTAATAGACTGCCTGATACCAGGGATTGTATTACGTAGTTTGACCATGGTGGTTCCACAACTTTTAGTCCCGGTTCCCACTATTGCCTGGCTGGAAAATGCATGTGATTCGGACAGAAATCGCACCACGTTCCTATTCAAATCGCATGCCATTCTTTGCAGTTCGATTTGATCGCTGAAATTGCTCTGTACCCAGACAAAAGGTGTAGGCACCGTTTTTTTGTGTTTTTTTTTTTTTGTTTTTTTGTTTTGTTTTTTTTTTTTTTGTTTTTTTTGTTTTGTTTTGTTTCCGCACTAGATTGAGCCAATTGCACTGCGTTTTGCAAACAATTTTTTGGGGTGTCCTTAACATAGACACCCACAGTGGTTTGTATGAACAGAGTGCGATTGTGATGCGGTGTGGGAAACGTACAGAAATACCTGCAAATCCCACACTGCATCAGTGTGAACCGACACTTCTACCTCCCATCCTGTTCTAGGACAGTCAACGTTTCCACATGCCATGGTGACTGGATTAACCACCTCCTGTCCGGCCGTTGTATTTAAACGGCCGGACGGTGGTAGTGCAGGGTCGGATGGCTGTTTATAAACTGACTCCCCGCCCCCTGCTTGTGCGCGCTCCCTGGGAGCGTGCAGCACCACGATAGTGCAGTGTTGCATGACCGCGCAATTGTCATTCAAAGTGTGATGGCGCTGAAAGCTGAAAATTGGCCTGGACAGGAAGGGGGTAAAAGTGTCCGGACTTGAAGTGGTTAAGAGGACTGAGTGACCCATATTGATATAAACCCTGGGGATCTTCCTTACACTCATTTTCTTTTTTTTTTTTTTTTTTTTTTTTTTTTTTTTTTAAATGGTTGAACTGGATGGACTTTTGTCTTTTTTCAGCCAGACTAACTATGTAACTATGTTTGATCAACAGCATTATGCAGTGCCATAGAACCTGTTTGGCTCACAGTGGATAGCCTCTCATTCTCTGTGAGAGGCTGGCAGATACTCTATACTCCTGAGATGTATTTTTTAATGCAAGAACATGAATTTGACTTGATGTCAGCTTCTTACAATCCCTTGTGTAGAAAGCACTGGGGGGGGGGGGGGGGGGCAAGACTCTGAGCCAGTCTGATGTACTTCATGCAAATGTAATGACCAGGGCCAAACTGATGGTAGAAACGAGCAAAGAGAAGTATTCGTCAGTCTCCTGCTGCTTCCTCCCTGTACAGTGTAAAAACAGGCTGGGGAAGTGAGATGACACCCCTGCATTTTTTAATTGTTTTAACCACTTGCCCTCCAGAGTATTTACCCCCCTTCCTGACTAGGCCATTCTTTGCAATACGGCGCTGCGTTATGTTAACTGGCAATTGTGCGGTCATGCAACATTGTACATAAATGACATTTTTGTCCTTTTTCCCCAAAAATAGAGCTTTCTTTCGGTGGTATTTAATCATTTTTGCACTATAAACAAAAAAAAGACCAACAATTTTGGAAAAAAAAAATATTTTTCACTTTTTGCTAGTAAACATTTCCAATAAAAATTTTTTAAAAAAATCAAATTTCATCATAAACTTAGGCCAAAATGTATTCTGCTACATGTCTACCCCACCTCCACCTAAGAACTGTACTTGAATCACCTCCACCAGATCATCCCCCGCAGCTATCACCTTTTGTATCACCTCCCCCTTCCTTTAGATTGTGAGCTTCACGAGCAGGGCCCTCACTTTCCTTCTGTACTGAAATGTATTGTAATTGTACTGTCCCCCTTTATATTGTAAAGCACTGCGCAAACTGTTGGTGCTATATAAATCCTGTTTATTAATAATAATAATGTCTTTGCTAAAAAACAAATCCCAATACATGTGAATTAATTGGTTTACATGAAAGTTGTAGCGTCTACAAATGTCGGTATATATACTGGAATTTTTTTTTTTTCTTTTAATACTAATGGCAGCAATCAGCGACTTATAGTGGGACTGCGGCGGGCATTCTGACACTGGGGGGGAACATGGTGTCACTTACATCCCCAGTCACACTAGTATAGTGATCAGTGCAAATAAAAAGCACTGACACTGTACTAAGGACACTGGGCAGGAAGGGGTTAGCATCTGAGGCAATCAAAGGGTTCTGCTGTGTGTGTTTTTACATAGTGTGCTGTGTGTGTTTTACTGTGTAGACACACTGCTTTGTACTGCTCTGTGGTGCAGAGCAATACAAAGCATTCTCTTTGTGCTGACAGGGGGGGATCTGTATTGTTTACATACAGACCTCTCCCCTGTCAGCTCCGCCGATCATCACCAAGTCCCTCCCGGACCAGGTGACTGACATGCCGAGAAGCCAAAATCGGTGTGGGTAGGAGCTTTTGGGCAGAAAAAAACACGGAACGCTGATAGATGTTAGGCACATTCATGTACTTGTGCTTTAATGCATTCTAATAGCCAGAATAAATTAATATTCTGGACATAGAATGCATTAACACATGAATGTGCATAAATGCATGTTCAGTACATGACTTTTACTTTGTATTTTAGGCAGCTTTTCTCCTGCCAGGAGAAAAGGCATTTAGAGGAGATGAGCAAACGCTCAGTGTACATGAGGCCTAAATAATATGGCTGGTATTATGTATAATTTTTTTTTTTCCTGGAGCAGCACTATAATATCTGCTTGTTGTCCCTCACACCTACGTTTCCTGCATTTTACATCTTTTTGTTTTACCTGGCATTTGTTTCTCTTCTTTTTTTTTTAAAGAAATGCGAAGGTGTCCTGCAGCCAGAGTCCCGGTCATTCGCCGTGGACCCCCAGATTACCTCCCTGGATGTTCTTCAGCATATATTGACCCGGGCCTTTGATTTAAATGGGTGAGTGCATCATTGTTGACCATGTGATCTTCTCAATCTCATTCTAAAATCTTACTTTGAGCTACTGTGTTACATGTCAGATGTTACAGTCACATCTCACATTTCATGATGTTTTCATTGTACACTGAACTCCAGCTTCCCTACCACATTAATAAGTTTGGGCCATTCTGTTCCAAACAAATTGTTTTTTTTTTACTAACAGATACTTTGGCTGTCAGTGCTATATAAACTGTATGTAGTATCAGCTACATAAAGTATACGGCACTGTGTTCCAGTAGTAATATGGGGACTTTCCGTCCCACTCCCAGCACAAAATTCTGCTCAATGAATACAAGGCTTCCTCTGAATGGTTGAGGTGGACATTGTGATGTCGTCCATGTGCCTCTCCACCTCAGCCATTCAGAGGAAGCTTTGTACTAACTGATAAAAATGTGCCATGTGGAATTTAAAACCCACCCCTTTGCCAACACACAATTGTGTTGGGTGGTCGCAAATGGGTTGAACAGTGTTGGGAACCTTTAGGTAAAACCCAACTGTGAAAACTGAGTTTGGACAAGAGCAGTGATCGGGCAAGCTGGAAAATTTCAATTGAAATGGAAACTATAATGGTTTAGGGGCAATTGTAATTTTTTTTTACAAGTTGATTAGCTTTTAAACTAATGTTTTAGATCTACTGTTTTTTTAACCAGTTATAAATATTTACCACAGTGGGCACCAATGAGACTAGTGTTGTGGGGTAGTGTGGGTTTTGTAAAGAGAGAGGTAGTATCTGCCTGTTCTCAGACTGTTTCTAATTGAAAACCTCTTTGGAGCTGTACAGAGGAAAGAAGTAAGGGGATGAATTATTCCTTTGACCTATCCAGCTTTATGTGTAGTCTGAACTTCAGCTATTGACCTCTCGTAACATTAGATGAGCTTAGCCAGGAAAAATAGGAGCTTTGACTGCCAGATACTGCCTGGAAAATGTCCATGTCGAATGTTTACCTGTCTTTAAAAAAAAAAAAAAAAAGTAAATTTATCCTGAAGTTCTGGACATAATTTTTATACAAACACACAAAACATTCTCTTTAGGAGAGTAAAACGCAATTGGCTTCTGCTGTCCATTCACCTCTGGTTTGTTAAACATGCCTTTGACAATATAATTTTTCTTTGCAGGAAGAACTTTGGGATCAGTTACCTTGGCCGTGACAAGCAAGGGCATGAAAACTACCTGTCACTCATGTCCGACTGGGACTTGGGAACAGCATTCGCCAGCGCCTCCAAACCATACCTACAGCTGAAGCTGGACATCAAGCCATCTGAGGACAGTAAGCATATGTGAGCCTGGGTGGAGGCCAGGACTCCAAAAGAATAGTAGTGGCACGAAGTTAGCCTTCGATGCAGGTGTGCAGATTAAAGGGTCCGTCCACCAAAAGCAATATTTCAGTGTAAAGTGTCACTAGTTCACTTATCTCGGGGAGACTTTAAAGGTAAAATCTCCTTGCCATACAGTAGGTCCTGGGTTTTTACCTACCCACCTTGTCTTCTCATTTTCTCCAACAGTAGGCATTAGCGTACCACTTCCCAGTCAGTTCAGAGCAGGAGCCAGAAGGCTGTATTAAAGTGAGCATGACCTAGCCCAAAACCTTTCTAAGATAATGATGCTGAAATGCAAGAATAGTGGGGTACCTGCAAGTACCTGTAATGGTCTGAGGTTCAACCCTTTCAACCTCTGTTGGGCACTTTGGATATTAGGCCAAGGCTGAACATGGGGTTTTGACTTTTGCCAAATCCGAATCTAAATAAGCTCTGCCCCTATTGGTTTTAAGGCCTTCCCCTTACATTCAACTGTCAATAAGCAAAGTTTCAGTGGGCTGCAGAGGCTTTGGCAATTGACAGTAAAAGGGCAGATCCCAGCAGTTGAGAGGATAGGGCATAATATTAGCTCTGTGTACAGTCTGGGCCTATTAGCCAAAGAAGGACCACAGGGTCATATGAACTTATTTGATCAGTTAACTGATTTTTTTTTTTACCTTAGAAACATTTTAGGTCAGGTTACGTCCTCTTTAAGCTTATAGCACTTGTCAGTTTTGGGTAGACTTGACCTTTTGAATAATTATATACCAAGTTCCTTCTTTTTAAAGCATACATTGGCCTTCTGATGGGTATTAATCTCATTGTAGGTCCTCTCCTGGAAGACTGGGACATCATCAGCCCTAAAGATGTAATTGGAACCGACTTATTTCTTGTGGACAAGCGTTCATTCACAGCCGCTCTACCCTTTACTCAGTCCTTACTGTCCCAGGTGAGCGAGAGCTCTGCACAACTGAGGAAGACCTCCACTCAAAATGTAAGGTGTAGCTCATGTGTAGTGTGGCCCAGACTGTTTTTTCTCTAGTTTTTGAATACAGTCCTGAAGTTATTGCAGTCTGTGCCCCCCCTCAGTGTATTCAAAACGGGAAAAAAAAAAAACCCATTTAGAGTTTTGATATACTTCACGTTTGGGTGGAGAGAGATGAAAACTGCTCATGGATCAATACTGGTTTGGTCAGTCCTGGCTGGGCTGTATTTCCATAAACAGCAGCAGATCCTCGGATGGCTGTATACACTTCTGCTTGTGGTTATACAAATGACTTCTATTAGGATTGTGAATCAGCCTCCTGGACAGCAAGATAAGCAGAGTATTAAAGGTTGTTGACTTTTCCAGGCTCTGGGGTTTTGTTCTGTTACTGATTTCACTGCTCAGTTAATTACTGACCTGGAGCAAGTATGCAAGTCAGTGGTGTAAAGACCATCTTTCAGTGACGCTTTATCCGCTGAGGACCTTGGGTGAGGAAATATGCCTTAAAAATTTTAACAAAGTTTCACTGGCATATCTCCTAAACCCTTCCCTTTCCCTCACTGTTATCAGTTATTCGTGGCTGTGAAAATGACAGCGAGGATTTGTGTATAACATGTCAGCCAGGCTGTCTTCTGGAAAATGACACCGATAATCTGCAATTGTCATTGAGTAATAGAATGTATCAACATAGGATTGTAGTGACCTTTGATCTGCATATGACATTAATTAAAGCAGTTTTTTTTTTTTTCGTTTAATATAAAATGTATTCCTTTTTAAGTTTTCACTGACTGGAGAAACACTGAATATCTCCTAAAGAGTGCACGTTTAGGGGATATTCGTTGTACCTACAATTGTTTTGCTTAAAAATGTGTGTGAAATTAAAAACAAATAGCCCTTTTCATTTGTGAAATACTTTACCTTGCTTTGGACCAGAAACCTCACTTCAGTGTAATTTTAAATTGGACAAAATATAAAAAGAATATTTTTATTTACAGTTAGGGGTCATTCACACTGGCTGCCTAGAGGTTGTTGAGCCACAGTTTTACGGACACCCCCCCCCCCCCCCAATTCTGCAATGGAGTTGTACACCTGCTTTGGTTGCACTGCTTTGCTTCATGCCCAGGGCAAACATTTTCCCTATGTCATGTTCGGTGGGCAGTACCGCTGCAAAATGCTATCGGTCAAGTGAATAGGGCTGCGCTGCAACCACAAGTAATGCTTGTGGTTGTGGTGCAGGCTTTTCAGGATTAAAACAGGTGGCGAGAAGGCAACAAATCACCTCCCAGCCACCTGTCAACCACCCCCTGCGGATTGTTTTTCAGAGGGACTGCAAGGGCTTCCACAAATGTGAATAAACGCCAAAACTACTTATTTTAAAATTGCAACTGGTCAAAATGGAAAATAATTTTTCTCTAGTCATCTTCCTGGATAGCACACCTGACAGATGACTAGCTCCGCCTGACAGAAAAAACAATCAAAAAACAACAGAGTTTAAATTCCCCGCCCTTCCCTCCACTCCTCAGTTTTTTGTGTTTGTTTTTTTCTGGAGACCTAAGGCCTGGGGCTGGAAGGTTCGCCCTGGGAGGTTAAGCAGCGAAGCTGGGGAGGGCATGGTGTGTAGCCGGGGTCACTCACGCACTCCAGGGTTCTCAGTCTGTAGGAGCTTCCTGGGCATAGGGGAGGTGTGTCTGGTGTTCAGGGACAAGCGCCCTTCTATCCTTATTTGTCGCAGTGGGGAGGCTTGGCCAGAAAGACTTTTACCTCACGGTCGCATTGACTGCTGGCCAGTGATGTACAGAGTGCGGTGCATGCCCGTAGGGCAGATGGGATGGCCACGATGGAGTTTGCAATCAGCTCTGTGCAGGACCGGAAGGGGGAGCAAGGCTGCGGGCCAAACCTCGTTCTCAGCTGGATTCTGGTGAGGGCGGGACTTCCACCTTACAGATTGCGGCACCGGTCGGCGTTTTGTTCCTGATGAGGCCAGTGAGGAGCCTCCAGGAATTACCACTGGGAGGGCTTACCCAAGAGCCCGGCGAAGGGGTCACAGTCCCGAGGGGCCCTGCTGAGGATGGAAGGCGAAGCAGTGGCTGCAGCCAATGAAAAGACCACGGGCGGTGAGTCTGACTTGGCTAATAGGGGAGAAGAGAGAGTCCTTACCCACTCCCCTACAGGTGTACCTAGGGGGGAAAGGATATACCGTTCCTTTTATTATAAATGTATCCACGGGTTGTCAGGGAAAGAAACCTCTGCGGTTATGAAGGATTTTTGTTCGGTGCAAATGGAGATGTTAGCTACCTTACAATCCTTTAAGACAGCTCTGACATCCAGAGAGGTGGATACATGATCCTCTAGGGAAGGTTATTCTTCCCAAGACGGGACTTGAATGGGTAAGCAGTGAGGTAGTCTGGGACCCTCATCTTCTCAGGTTACAGAGGAGGAAGACTTAGAGGAGGCTGAGGTCTCTGACCAAAGCTCCCTGAAAGAGGGGGGAGATTTGGAAGGTGCTAGCCAGGCTAGTGAGGAATACAGACTGGGTAGACACCTTTTTTGCGGTGGAGGATCTGGAGGAGCTCCTAAGTGCTGTTTATGCCTCAGGACATCCCAGAACCATCAAAGCAGGTCTCGGCCCAAGATAAAATGTACAGGGGGTTGGTCTGACCTCAGGGTAGGGTGCTACCCATGCATCAAACTCTCAAAGATATTGTTTTGAGAGAGTAGAAGGATCCTGAGAGGTTTTAAAATTAAAAACCTGGAAGAGGTGGTACCCCTTTGGGGAAGAGGAGGAAGATACATTCTTCAACACTCCTAAACTATATGCTGCGTTATTGCAAGTGTGTTATAAAAAAAATAAAAAAAAAAATCTGACCTGTACTTTGAGGATGCAGGTGACATCAGGGATCAGAAGGAAAATAGGTCTGAGACACTGTTGCATAGAGCTTGGGATGCTAATACCACTACTATGGCCCCAGCCCTGGCATCCGTCTGCTTCGCTAGCAATACTGATGCTTTGATGCATAGAGTGATTGATCACATTTCTCGGGGTACCAAGAAATAAGGGGAAGCCCAGACAGAGCGGGTGTTAGAATCCCTGGAGGTGGTCAGTAAGGCAGTTGCCTACTTAGCAGACGCTGTGGTAGAGATGGTCAGGACATCGGCTAAAACGGCAACGCTTCTCAACTCAGTCTGGAGAGCAGTGTGGGTTAAGCCTGGGAGGGCAATCAGAAGTTAAAGGCCCGACTCCGTGGTCTGCCCTTTGAGTGGTTCTTACTGTTTGGTTCAGGGCTGGACCAGGTGTTGTCAAGGTCTGCTAAAAGGGAAAAAGTTCCTTGCCAAACCCAAAAAGGACAAGGGGGAAGAAGTTTCTTTGCCCCCCCCCTAATCAGGGCCAGCAAAGATTTAGGAAGGACTCGCCCAACAAATGGGCCAACAAGCGTAGACTGGAAGCGAGCTTCTTTTTTTCTGGCCCCAAAACTACTAGTAAGGACCCCAATTAATATAGACATCAGGTTGGGCGGAAGCCTGTCCAGGTTCCTCCAGCAGTGGGGGAGGTTTGCAGAGAGCCCATACATCCTACACTTGATAAGGGAGAGGTACCAGTTGGAATTCTCCTCACTCCCCCCTGATACCTTTTTGTGTTGATTTATTCCCCCAGAGACAGAACAAGGGCAAAGGGTCTCCTGGGAGGTATCAGGGATTTATCGGAACAGGAGGTGATTGTCCCCGTGCCAACATATCAGCTTTTATTTGTGGTCCAAAAGCCCTCGGGGAAATTCCACTTGATCATAAACCTAAGAACGTTGAACAGTTTCTTGTGATACAAAAAATTCCGTATGGAAAGTATTTACAGTGTATGGAAACATCTGCTCAAGGAAGTGTTTATGGCCACTGTGGACCTCAGGGACCCCTACCACCATGTTCCCATTGCCCCAAAATACCAAGCCTTCTTGCAGTTTGCCATTTTCACGGAACCGGGGTCAGCCATTGACAGTTCTAAGCCCTTCCTTTTGGGCTGGTGGCCAGTCCAAGAATATTTGCCAAAGCCTTGGCAGCCTATTTGCACTTTCAGGGGATTTCCCTCATTCCTTAGCTAGACGATCTGATGATCTGCAGCCTCTCTCAGCAGCAAGTCTTGAGAGACCTGGAGAAAGTGATCCTCACCTTGGAATCTTTGGGGTGGATTGCCAATCGGGATAAGTCCTCATTGACTCCCTCCCAAACCAAGGTGTTCCTGGGGTATGTAGTGGACTCTAGAGTCCAGACTCTTCTTACCCCCAAGAGAAGACCAAAAAAGTAGTGGGGCTGTCTTTGGGTTGGTAACGGTTCCAGATTGCTCCCGGAGGCACATCATGAGAGTCCTAGGACTCATGACAGCCTGCATACCGGCCGTAGAGTGGGAACAGTTACATTCCAGGGAGCTTCAATTCTTCCTTCTATCCTCCTGGAGCAGGGAAGTAGAATCGCTGGACGAGAGGGTTTCCCTCCTGGAGAATGCAAAAACCTTGCTAAGGTGGTGGCTCAGGCCCCACAATCTGGGGGAAGGACGACTATGGGTCGGGTAACCATGGATGCCAGCAAGTGGGGCTGGGGGGCTCATCTAGAGGACTGACAAGCCCGGGGCCCGTGGCAGCCACACCTATGGGGGAGCTCCTCCAATTACAGAAAGCTGCTGGCAGTAGGCAAGGCCTTCAAGTCCTTTGAAGACCAGATCTGGGGAAAGGAAGTCCAGATTCTGTCAGACAATATGTTGACAGTGGCATACCTGAACCATCAGAGGGGCACTAGATCCCAGAAACTCCTGGACCTAGCTCAAGAGGTTCTAGGATGGGCAGAGAGCATGGTCCTTTCGGTTTCCGCAGTCCACATAAAGGGGTTGGCCAACACAAAAGCAGATTTTCTCAGCCAACAGTTGATCCACCAGGGAGAGTGGGAACTCAGTCCTGAGGTCTTTTTACAGCGAAGTCAGGTTTTTGGCATTCCAGAAATAGACCTTTTTTGCCTGCAGCAAAAACAGGAAGGTGAGGCATTATTTTTCCATGGCCTGGGAGCAGGAGTCCAAGGGTCTGGACTCATTAATGCAGGAATGGGATTTTGAGCTGGCATATGCATTTCCCCTTCTGGCATTGATCCCGTGGGTACTACAGAAGCTGAGCTGGTCAAGCTGCATACTGATCTTACTAGCCCCGTGGTGGCCAAGAACAGCCTGGTTCGCCAGCAAGTGGTCCGTGGCTCCCCCAGCAGCGTGTCCCAGTCAGGAGGGTCTTCTCTTGCAGGGGCCAACTCTGCACCCCAATCCGGAATTTTTTTGGTTAATGGCTTGACTCTTGAAAGGGAGATTATTAGAAGGGAGTGTTCTGAGAGAGTGATAGAGACTCCTCTTCTCAGTAGGAAGCTGGTGAATGGGGTTTCTCTTCCCATGGTCCCTGTGATCCTAGACTTTCTCCAAGCAGGCGTGGATAAAGGTATAGCTGTAAACACCCTAGAGGTGCAATTGGTGAACTTATCTGTCTTTTTGGACCAGAGACTCTCATCGGAGCCTCTAGGTAAGAGGTTTCTGGGGGCCAGGGAAAGGGTGACCCCCATTAAGATACATAGTTTTCCGGTTTTGGATCTGAACTTAGCGTTAGAGGCTTTAACCAAGCCACTGTTTGAGCCAGTGGCACAGATTTCTGTTAGGCTTCCTTTTAGCCATCACAAAGGCAAGGAGGATAGGTGAACTTCAAAATCTGTCTATGAAGAAACCCTTCCTAGTGGTATTAGAGGACATGGTAGTGCTTAGACAAGACCCCCTTTATTTGCCCAAGGTGTTCATAGGACACAAGAGATTGTTCTATCGTCCTTCTGTTAAAACCCGAGGGATGAGAGGGAAGAGAGTATTTGTTTTTTAGATGCCAAACGGTGTTTACTGACATATTGGGATAGAGTAAGTGACTTCAGGAAGTTTAGTCACCTTTTGGTGTTGTTTAGTGGCCCGAGGAAGGGACAGCAAGCATCTAGGCCAACAGTAGCTAGATGGATCAGACAAGCCATCTCCTTAACCTATGAGCAGTCAGAGATTTCAGTTCCCAAACACCTGAGGGCTGCGACCTCTTGGGCGGAGAGGGCTGGAGCAATGATTGAACAAATCTGCCGAGCAGCCACATGGACAAGCCAGGACACCTTCGTGAGGCACTACAGAGTAGAGCTGTTGTCGCCTCGGGACCTGGTGTTCGGTGGGACAGTATTACACACAGTGGTCCCGCCCTAAGGTAGGCCTGAGTTCCTTGCTTCTTATCTCAGGTGTGCCATCCTGGAAGAGGACTAGAGAAAAGTACCAGTTACACTTACTAGTAACTGTTTCTTGGAAATCTTCCAGGACGGCAGGCCTACTTCCTACCCGTATCTGGTGTTTGATCAGTTTGAGGCAGAATAACTTTCGTGCACCAGGGTGCAGGAATACTCTTGCATAACTGAGGAGTGGAGGGAAGGGTGGGGAATTTAAACTCTGTTGTTTTTGATTGTTTCCTGTCAGGTGGAGCTAGTCATCTCTCAGGTGTGCCATCCTGGAAGATTTCCTAGAAACACTGTTACCGGTAACTGGTACTTTTTACATCTTTTTGCATATAGATTGCATAGAAAATAATAAAATTATTTTTGCCAGACAATATTGCCAAATAAAAGCAAAGTCTGTCATCAAAACACAGTGTACATATTAATTTTGTTTTTTTAAGTAATAAAAATGTCATAGCTAAGTAATCAACCCCAAGAGGTGGAAATCTAATGGTCTATAAAGGGTGTGAGTGTTAAGTTTTTGGCTTAAAAAAAAAAAAGTATATTGGCATGTAGTTCTGCATGCTGATAGGAAATCATCTTCACATTCATTAGTTAAACATTTTTTGCTTACAATTAATGTCTGTCCTGTTTACGTGAGGCACTGATGATGTAACCAAGACCTCACAGATTTTTCCTGGGAAGACTACATCACCAGTGCCTCCCTCTCAGATGTGGCCTGTCACATGTTCCAGGATGCAGACCCTGAGTTCCAGGAAATAAAGGAAAATGGATTTATCTGATCAACTGCAGGTCAGATACAACTGTGAATTCTAAATGACCTCAGAAGTGTCTCAATCCGATCCCATTCACATAAATTCAAAGACTGTTGTCACGGGCTGTATAGAGAATATTTTTTTAAAGTTATCTTTAGGTGACATGTCACTTTTAAAACTAAATGTTTTTTTGGAATAAAGAATTTATATATGATCTGCATAGAGTGAGTTTAGAAGCTTAAAACTCCTGTCAGGTTTTTATTGTGGCCTATGTGCCTACCTGGGGGATTCACTATGTATTGATCACAGTGATCATTGTCGCCACTACAGAAAATAAGGGGGGATGCACAATTGTATAGTTGCAATAACAGGTGGTGAGAGAAATCTCATCAATGGTTCACAGACCTGAAATGCAAAAATAAATAAATAACAGTGGTTTTAACAATTCCCTACGCTCTTGAAAACTAAAAAAAAAAACACTTTTGATTTAGGTGTATTTTAAAAGGGTTTCCAGTTTTGCTTAGAATCAGCGTGAGTGGAAAACAATGAATATCACATCTCTGTGATCCACTACTTGTTCAATGTTTGTCTATCTTAAAACTGGCTGTCTACACTGTGCAGAGTAGACACGTAAGGTTTGACAGTGAAACTTTGCTTGTGATACAGGTGGGTCGTACAATTTCTCGTATGCAACAGGCACTGAGCTGGACGTATGGTGAGGATGTGAAACCTTTTAAGCCACCGCTCAGTGATGTGGAATTCCACACATACCTGAACCATGAAGGACAGCTGACCCGTCCAGAAGAGCTTCGCCTTCGCATATACCATGGTGGTGTAGAGCCCTCGCTGAGAAAGGTGAAGAAAAGAGGATTTATTAATGTTCATATTATGGCAGCTGCATATTTTTAAACTATATGAGGTAGCCCTTTTAATATATTGAAGAAAACAGGCAACTTTGCAAAAATAGTTTTTTTTCCTTTTTTCCAGTGCTTTAAGTACTGTCATTACAGGCCTAAGCCAATGAAAACATTGCTTTGTTTGAATTCACCCAGTCTTCCCAGTAACTACAAAAAAGACTGAAAATGAGGAGATCTTCTCCTTTACATATGTGTTTGTTTTAATGTTTTTACAGGCAAGTTTGTCTTTATTATTTTGCATAAATTTAACAGACATGGTATGAGATGTAAACAGAACATATACAAGTAGATTAACAAAAAAAAAAAACATCACAGATGAGGTTATGATCCATATGGATGTAGGAAAAGCATATAGTAAAATTGCCAGAGGAGAGGATCAATATCTACTATTATGGAGATATAACATAATAAAGTATCAGAGGAGTATCCCCAGGCAAAATGTCTGAAACAATATGAGAGAACTCATACAACCAAAAATGTAAACTAGGAGAAAAAAAAGGGGGAAGAGAGAGAAAAGGAAAAAAAAAAAAAAGGGGGGGGAGAGGGAGTTGGGAGACGGGGGTATTAGGAAGCCAAAGTAGGGTGGTTCCTCAACCGCATCTCACTGGAGCGACCCCCGGCACGGACCGTAGGGTCAAATCGGTGGATAAGCCAATGAAAATCGGTTGTGGGAACACGGCTCAACTAGAGTGCAACAGAGGAACACATATCTTGTTTTAATGTTTTTCGAGGTTATAGCCATAAATAGTGATTTTTGTGTTGCACTCATGTTATCAGTGGAGATCAGAAATTGCTAGAAGCAGGAGCCCCTGCATAAAGTTATTTAACACATGCTTATCCTATGTGGTTCTAAATCGACAGATTTGGAAAGCAGGATATACATCTCAGGGGAGCCCTGATGTCTTTTTGACCTTGGTCTGGAAAAATGTGAGATCTACGCTGTAGCTAAGCTTTGCAGGGGTTACTAGCAGTTTTTGGACTTTAATGACTACATGAATCTATTGCAGTGTACAAATCATCATTTATAGTACCTGGCACTAAAGGTAATGAGTCAAACAGGTACATGGTGAAGGCGACTTTCAGGTTGACAGTCCTTGTTGGCAGGTACAGTGCAGCAATGGAGAGGTTGAATAGAAATAGAGCAGTAGCTTAGGCTTTTGGTGACACCTCTTAAAGCAGAAGTAAACCCTATAAAAATAAATATAAGTGCTAGTATAATGCGAACAATTGCCAGCACATTGCTTAATGCTAACACATTATGACAGACTTGCCTTTCAAACAAAGCCCTCCAGTGGCACGTTGTCACCGCTAATGGTCCTTCCATCTTTATTTGGTCTTCATTCTGGGTTTGTGCTCTATCCGGCCATTTAAATAGCTGGGCTGCAATGACTTCACTCCTGTGTATGTGCACAATTGCGGCACGGCGCTCTGCATTGATGGCACATTCAGTGTGACCTGAATGCAGAGCTGCTCGCATGCACCAATGACGTCACCAGTTGCAGCTGCTGTGAATATCTTCTGAACAGTACGCGTTTATAAGATTTTTTACAGTACCTACAGGAGAGCCTTCTTTATAACCAATATAGAGTTCAGACCTCGTGCGCAGCCACTACTGAAGTAAGACTGCTGCACCTTACAAGATTCTGAATACAGAATCCAAAACGCTATAACTAAAAAGAAAAGTGTGCTGTCTCTTTAAATATCCTTCACACAAAAAGGTGAACAATTCATATATATTTAATATACAATAATAAACACTATTTTATGTAATGTGCCAAACCGCAATAAAGTACACAATGAAATTAATAAAAAGTATAAAAATAAAAATGATCAATTTTTATATTCTCAAAGTAAAATTTTAATCAAAAATTCAGGCAACAGTTCATCATTTTAAAGTAAAAAGTCCTTCCAAGTGCTTTAAAAAAAAATGCTCACTGCTTAAAATACTAAAGGAGTGCTTCAGTGCTAAAAAGTGCTTCTTAGACCAAGGGGCCTCTTACCAGCCAAATATGATCTTACAGTAAAGAGATCGATAGTGCTTTGTGTATTCCACCCTAGAGAGCCTACGCTCTCACCATCAGAGCCCACAGGAGCTCTTCGACCCCGTCAGCCAATTACAACAGCAGTGTCCTGGCCGTGAGAGTGTAACACTTGTTTTTTTTTTTTTTTCCTGCTATCACAAATACATATCAAAAGCATAAGGAAGAAATCTCACAGTGTTGTACTGTAGTGATATTAGTTTACTTAGGATTTACTTTAGGATTGCACTTCCAAACATGAGGAAATATCCAGCAGTAAAAATTTTCCAGCACAACTGCGATACCCTCGAGTGCGCCAGTGCATGATGGTGTCACACTTCTAGCTTCTCCCGATGCGTTTCCCCATATAAGATGTCTTCTGGAATTGGAGGCCTCCAAGTGTACAAGAGGCTTTACTACTGCTTTATGCACAGGTATAAAAAATGCAGTAGGTCATAGGCTTATTAATACTTGTGTTATTTGCTTTAACGTTTTGGGGGGGGGGGGGGGGTGTTTAACCACTTAACCTTAAATGGTTGGTATAGGTTAGTGGGTTTAACCCTATGCCGCATACTAATGTATTTTTAAAAATACGTCTATCCTTAGCATCTGCTTTACCTAAAGCTTTATATAGTCCTTCATCATTTTTCATAATTAAATTACATCCGTTTCCACTCCTGCAGGATTAAAGTATTCACACTCTTGCTTGCCCTAAAAACACCCCTTCGGTTGTTTGTGTTTCTCAACTCCAGTGCACAATGACTAAACAAAAACAGTAGTATATTGATGGCAGTGGTTTTCATAACTTACAGCTAGTTTGTCATCCATTTTAATAATTAAAAACTAAGAGCACAAGGTACCTGCTTTTCTTAGCAAGGAAACCCTTTCGTTTGCCCTGTTCTAATTTAGCTTCACTTTGCTGTTTGGGAGCACTGCTATTCATCTGTCCATTGATCGCACCTAATGGCTCGTAAGTAATTCTTATTGGATAGAAGGTTGGCAGACCTGTAAATTAAACTTCCAGTGAATCTGCTACTGCTCTGTTTTACATTCAGCCTGTCCATGATTGTTTTGCAACAGCAGGCCAAGACTGACAGGAAGAGAGGTGCATTGACTGGGGCTAATAGCAGGCATCTTATGACTGTTTTAAAACGGTGCCCAGTAATGGTAAGAACGATGGCTATTGTAGCAGCTCAGTGAATTTATTACTTTTTGCTTGGACTTGCTGATTAATTTTTTTCTTCTAATATATTTCCCATACCCTCTTTAGATTCGAAATTCCCTTTCCCTTTGGTTCCTGTATTGTTTTCTGTATTCTCCATGCAGGTCGTCTGGCGTTACTTGCTCAACGTGTACCCAGATGGGCTAACTGGACAGGAACGCATGGATTACATGAAGAGTAAAACTCGGGAGTATTATCAGCTGAAGAGTGAGTGGAGAGAGAGGTGCAGCCAGGAGGACCTGGAGTTCATTCAGGGTAACGTAATGAAGGATGTTCTCCGAACAGACCGCACTCACCCATATTACTCTGGTTCAGAGGATAATCCTCATCTACAGGCCCTGCACGACCTGCTTACCACCTATGCCGTTACCCACCCACAGGTGTCTTACTGCCAAGGTATGAGTGATATCGCATCGCCTATCTTAGCAGTCATGGACAACGAGGCTCATGCCTTCATCTGCTTCTGTGGCATTATGAAGAGGCTTGAGGGCAATTTCCGCATGGATGGTGAGTGCATGTCTGTGAAGTTCTCCCATCTCAAACTTCTATTGCGTTACTCTGACCCAGAATTCAACACCTACCTAATGTCGCGTGGTGCTGATGACCTCTTCTTCTGTTATCGTTGGCTGCTGCTAGAACTTAAAAGGGAGTTTGCCTTTGAGGATGCCTTGAGAATGCTAGAGGTCATGTGGAGCTCTTTACCTCCAGATCCTCCAGAGAAAGAGGTGGAACTGGTGGGGCCCCCCTGCGCACCAGGGGAGTGTCGGAAAAACACGCGGAAAAGGCACATGATGAGGCCGGACCGTGGCCTGAGCCCAGATGAAGAGGCGAATGAAGTGGTAGAGAAAGAAGTGGAGGAGATTGTGGAAAGCAAAGAACCTGTTGCACTGGAGGGATCTCCAGCATTGATATGTCCTTTTTTGAAACAGGCTAGCTTCGGGGAATTCAAATGTTATGAGGAGAATGAAACACGGTCAAGTTTTGAGACTGATGATCTAGCAAGTCCTACCTTGCAGGTCAGACAATCCATAGAGGAGGAGGAGGAGGATGAGGAACGGTTATGGGAACAGGAACCCCTTATAGGACCATCTGATTCCCTTAGTGTCACCAAATCCATATCTGCTCTTTCTTTGACCTCTTGCTCCCCCACATCACAGAGCTCAACATCTCTTGAAAATGCGGACCAAGCTGGTGAAACCTCTGCTGCTAAGCCTGAAGATGAGGTTGTGCCAGAAGCTGAACAGACTGTGGCCACTTCCCCGGCCCCTATCAGCCTTCCCCCGCCCCAGGAGTTTGGGCGCGGAAATCCTTTCATGCTGTTTTTATGCCTTTCCATCTTGCTGGAACACCGCGAGCAGATCATGAAACAAAACATGGGTTATGACGAGCTGGCGATGCACTTTAATCGCTTAGTCAGGAGGCACAACCTGAACCGTGTGCTGCACCGCGCCAAAGCTCTCTTTGCGGACTACCTACAGTCCAAGGTATGGGATTCCGAGGAGGGAGATGAGGCCGCAGCAGAATCACCTGTCATTTCCTGACCTTTCCTCCATCATTTCCCAGCTGGATGGGTACCAATTTCCAAGCAGGGACAATACGGTAAAAGGGATAGAACAAAGACTAGCATCTACTCTGCAGACCAATATTTGCAAATAAGTCCCTGGCGTGGTTGTTTCACCATATTCTGAACAATGACATTTAGGAATGCAAAAATGTTTTCGCTGGCTTGAATGGGATGAGCTGGTTTGATTTGTCAGACTTGGCTCAGACAAAAAAGGAGCCAGTTAAACACTAATTTAACTTTTAGGCATTCTGCAACTTTATTTGGCCATGAATACAGCTGAACATGTTGCACAACAAATATGGAACTGCTACTTCTCTTCATGTTGATCAATGTCACATTTCGGTGCCTCTACACACCAAAGAGTGACATATACCTACATGTTAATCATATAAGCATCAGTTTCATATTTGGCATGCAATGTGTTTTTATTTGGGGATTTGTCAAAGAACCGCTAATGTTTACCTATATTGTGTGCAACCGCTGATGTGTGCAGCGTGCTTTAGATTCATCTTGTGCATAGGAAATTTGAGTTTACACAAGGGATCTAGGACAAAAAAGCTAATTCAATATGGCAGAAAGTAATATACAAAGATCCGTAATCCCCATCAGAGTTCACTTGGTTTTGAGTTGCACAAACTGAAATGTTTGGCTGCTGTGGATTACTGAACTTGGCCCATTATCTAGATTTATCAGTTGAGGGCCTAGAAGGATGTTTTTTGAAACTAAGAGCCTTGTATGAAAGAATTTGTGTATCTCTGATCATTGTATTACAAATGTCATTGACTGTGCTGATTTACGTGGGAATTCTATATTTTGGAGGACGAAGAGCAAAGACAACTTGACAATTTAAGGACCAGAGTTACGTAGACTGAATACTATTCAGGAACACGCAGTGAAGTTTGGTGCAAACGTGTGAAACACTTTAGCAGCTGTTTAAGAGATGGACACTAGAGGGAGCTAATGAATAAGCTTTGTGTTTTAGGTTGCAAGGCTTTCCTTTTCTTAAAATGAACCTGTGATTCGCCCATGCAAGGCAAAGCACCAGTTCACTTGAAAGCCGTCACATCACGTTATGTTTATTTTCCATTTGTTCCTCTGCCCCTCCATTCACCACTGAGAGTTAAGAGAAATAGCAAGTACTTCTGAGTATGGGGATTATATGACTCCCTTTACTTTCTTTCATATGACATTGCTGGTTCTGGGTGATTGGCCCAATGCTGTCACATGAGTGCAGGGATAGACTGCTCATCCTTGTTTAAGCTCTGGCTCTGAGCTTGTACATCTCTTCTTTTTTTTTCGCTCCATGCAGTGGAGGGAGCAATGGTTAAAGTATAATCAAAAGTTAACTTGAATAGAGTGGTCAGGGGTTAGAACAATGGTCAGGTTTTTTTGCTGTCTGTGTCCTCCCTAGGGAGATTTACTTTCTGTAATGGTGCTGATCACCATTGTCACTGAGAATGAAATTCGGAATAAATACAAAATTTTAAGTTGCCACCAGATCAGGAATAGAGGAGAAATCTTATAATGGGACAACTGTTTCTGAAACGGCTGTCTAAGAGGGGGCATCCTTCACAATGGAAATCTATCCTCTCCTGAGTCTACAGGACAGGAAGTGTATTGAAGTCTACCTAATGGTTCAAAGATGGCAGAAAAAAGCTGACTGCAATTTTAACCCTTCCTGACTGTATCCAAATTGGGGGGGAAAAATTACCTCTGAAGTATCTTTAATTACTATATGCTGCATAAGATGGGTTTAAAGTAAATCTGTTTGCATGTCCTGCAGGGGAAAGGCACAGGTTCATTTTAGGGACTGTATGGATGGAAGTCACTGAAAGAAGAACTGCCTGCGTTGCCTGTAGCAATTAAAGCAGGGATGCAAAATCCACACACTTCCCATGCCTCTTTCTGTCAGCTGGAATTTTTTTTTCTCCAATGTGTGGTCGCCTCTCCTTACATGTCATAGCTGAAAAAGGTCCAAATCAGGCATTGAAGTCATTCTTGCTTCCCTGTTCAGTTCCTGCACAAGTAGTGCTGCCAGGCTTTATGAAGGTGCTGGTTACTGGGCCTAGCTGCTCTAAAGTGTTATTTGGTTGTTGGAGACTTCCTCACCACCTTGTATATCCTGATTTTTTTTTTTTTTTATTTGAACACTGATGATTGATATCTCATTTATGTCTAATTGAGGCATCATTGACTTGGGGGGGGGGGGGGGGGGTCGATAGAAGATGGATTTATTACCATATGATAGAATGTATTGGGGGGTGATGTGTATATACAAGGTGCCTGATTGGCCTGACAATGTCATATTTCTAGCATAGATGGGACAGTGGGAAATAAATTGGTAGCTAGTGATAACCAACCATGGTTAAGTATTGTATAGCCTTTATAATAATATAGTACAACCTATACGTGATTTTATACTATGCGTGACAGTGTATCAGACCCAAGTATAATAAGCACATAGAACAAATCGCGACGGAGATATGAGTGAGATGCCACAATGTTGTGGCCTTTTTCCTTTTTTTTAAGAAGAACAAATATTTGTTTTTATCTTCCTCATAGGTTGAGATATCATTTTTGGTTTTATGTCCCTTGAAGAGCACCTGTCTTCTGTGCATGAACCGGTCTTTGGCTCAGGGCTGAACATGAGCCTAAGTAGCCTGTTTGCCTACAGCTGATTGTACAGTCTTTAGATTTAGAATAAGTAATAGGAGGGCTGCGTAGAATCCAGTTATACTATAGCTATATTTTTAGTTTTGAGAGGAAGCTAAAGAACCAGGAAAGAACGCAGGGGTCTTGAAAATTGTGTGCTGGTACTGAACCCAAAATCCCAGTTTTTGAGAACAAGAGTGACAGTGATTGTGCTGTCATTTACTGGTTACTTGTAACATCATGGAGGAATGTGATGGACTCTGTGAATGTGACAGGTGGCACTTGAACCAGAATAACTACCTGAAAACTCCAATGATTGAAAACAAATTAAACAAAGCAGAAAACTTTAGGGGCGATTTACAAAAACAGGGTCAGTTGGGTACCTTTGCAGTGTGAATACCCTATTTGCATTGATGATACATTTGCACATTGGTGGTATTTATGGGCACCACCAGCTAATGTGAAACAAGGTTTTGCATTGCAGTTGAATTGAGTGCCATTAGTCAGCAACAAGCTATTAGAGCAAAAGTGGTGGATGTCAAACTGAACAGGAACCTGCCACCATTCACAGGAGTTGTCCAGTAAATTAATCCTGTAACTAAAAAATAATGTCCATGTTGACTTGATCCAAACAATGGTTGTTACTACTAGAGCAGAAATTTCCAACTACGATTGTTGACGTTATATTGGTCTTGCCTAATTGCATACTGCTCCTTGCTTTGCAAATCTCCCCTGTTCTATGTACACACCGTACATTACATGTCTTATGGTTGGAAGGAGCCAGTATTTTCCAAAAACTGTAGAGTAGGTTGGAGTGTCAGCTGCCAGGTCCTCGTTCATTTCATTCCAGCCTCTCATTTTGCACATGGGCACAGCGCCTCTTATTTATTTATTGTGTTTAAGTTCTGATTTGTTTTATACTGTGTTTTGTTGTACTGTTCTTTTTTTATGATGTTTTATTTGTTTTTGCCAAAGAAAGGTACGACAAGGATAGGGAAAAGCACCTGATGGCCGTACAACACTATTCCTTGAACTGCAGCAGTGCATAGCTTTATTTAAATTCAGATTGTTATGCTGTAAATGGGGTCTTCTTATAGTGTAAGTCCAATCAAAACCTTTTCTTTTTTTTTTTTTACTTTCAGATAGAGAGGGGAAGGATTAGAATGTTGGTCAGGTTTTCAGTGCTATCTGGGGCACTGTTGGAGAAATGTTTCCTTATTTGTTGTCCTGCTGAAAACCTACAGAAGGGACATAGAATAAAAGAATAAAAATATATGTATGGCTGAAGTCACTGCAGCCCTAGGATGTGGATTGTATCTCTTCAACAGGTGGAGCAGACCCCACAGGTCAGGGCTGTTTCCTTCATAAATGCATCCCTACAGCCCATTGTTATTCATACTGTTTGTTGTTATGCTAGCGGTTACTCTTCTGTTTTGATTAGCTCTTGTGGCTTATGGCCTTTTTATATGCTTTCTATTACTCTCTATACTGGAAATTTTTGCATTTTTATTCTGTGCTGTTAAACCTATTGAAAACTCTAATAAACATTTTTGTAAAAGAAAAAAAATATGTATGTGTAGCTGTTGGAGATTTTCCCTCAATTCCTCTCTGATGAAGCTGCAGTCACTAGAATAGGAAGCGAGGGAAAATCTCTAATATGGAGCACCTGATAAAGTATAAGGGGTTCTAATGTTTCCCAACTCTATCCAAAGCCAAAATTAACTTTGGTTGCACTTAAAGTGTTACTAAACCTAGGACCTTGTATTCACTATATCTGATCTCCCACAGTACACAGAACATGGAAATGTAAATATAAACTGCTAAATACCTTTTCTCATCAGCAATTAGAGCAGTCTTGTGACTTCTATCACTGTCCAGCAGAGCACTGGTTAAAGCTTGTAAGAGGAGTGTTCTTTCTGCTCTAGAAGGATGCAGAACCCCTGACCTCTGTCTGGACAGTGCTGATTGGCCCTGTGCTGGTCACATTCACTCTCCCAGGAAGGAAAAAAAAAAACCTCTAGCAATACACACCAAACTGAGCATGTGCACAGTGACTCCACTCTTATCAGGAGGTAAGTGGGGGACACTGGAGAAGGGGAGGATCAGAGAACTGAGGATCAAACAGCTTTTTTTACTCAATGCAGAGGATTAACCCCTTAGGTTCCACATTGAGTATAACAAGCATGCATTACTGCATATACAGACTGATTTTACAGTTGTGGGTTTAGTAACACTTTTTAAAGTTCATCTCCACGGTTGATACATTTTTTTGTACGTTTTACATTGGGCCAGCTTGGCCCAATGTAATTATGCATATGTGAAACCCATTTGACTGCCATGGAGGCTGTAGTAGCCCAAGCTACTACAGTGATGGCCAGAATCTTCCTGGTGCCATTCTGAAGAGCTGCCCTTCTGCATAGTTATGACTGACTGTAGTTACTAAGCAGAAGGACAGCTGCTCATAGCTCAGCATAACATCTGGAAGATCGCAGTCATCGCTGTATTAGCCTAATACAGTGGTTTACACAAAGCCAATCAGGTATTACATATGCATACCCATGGTAAGTATGCAAAATATATCATCCCTGGAGTTCAGCTTTAAAGGTGTGCTGTCAAAAGGAATTAAAGGTCTGGCTTAATTGCAATGCTGTTGGAAATGCTAGTCGCTTGCCTGTCTTCAGTCCTTTGAGTTGCAGATCTGGAACAGCATACAGTGAATCTAATCAGCACTTCAAAACTGTATACTCCATGTCCGTGCTAAAATTGAAACCAGTGGATGGGCACCACAGCCAAGTGGGCTTGCATTTTAGAAGCCCAGTGGTCTTTTACAGCCCATATCCTGTGAAGATTTTTCTACTATTAGGGCCAGTTCACACCACATGCAGTCCAGTGCATTCTTCTTTTCTGCATCAAAAACACATTGAGAGTAGGTTACATAGTTTCCAATGGCATAGTTCACACCAGTGCGGTCAGTTCCAGTGCGTTCCAGTTGCAGCAAAGAAAGTAGAACATGCTGCATTTTATTTGTTTTTTTTTGCACTGAACTGTACTGGAACGCAGTAAAATGCACCAGAGCGCACATGTCCTTATTTAAGTTGAATAAAAAGAGGGGGAGAAATGAACTGGAACGCATCAAAAGCGCACTGGAATGCTTAAAAACGCGCATACAGAAACACATCTGGACTGCGTTTCTATAGTGTGAACCAGCCCTTAGGCAAAGTTATTCAAAGTTAGTTTAAATGAGCTCCTCTGTAACTTCCCTTCCATGCCTTGCTATATAGCTTCCTTTTGTTCAGCCATGTCGTTATTTCTACCATCAGGTAAGTTGTCCTGGGATGGCACATAACGTTACCTTCTGGATACAGTAGACTCTAATTCAATGAGCAAAACTAATAGTCTGAATTCCAGGACATAAGTAGTTCCTCTGCCTGAACACTTGCGGAAGTGCTTTTATAAATCAACAAGTTAAGTTGCCTGAAGTTAGAAAACCCCCTTTTAAAGCAACTGTACTTTACCTATGTAGTGCAAAGCAACAGGTTTATTATTATTATTATACAGTATTAGCGCCAAAACATTTGCTCAGCGCTGTACATTATAGTGGGGGACAGTACATGAGACAATACAGTAACAAAACAATACACAAGGGGTTCGAGGGCCCTGCTCTTTCGAGCTTACAATCTAGGAGACTTTATTTTAATGTCCCTTCCCCAGCAGCACATACTCATCTTTTCTTTGCTCCCTTTTTCTTTGTTCAGTCATGAGGAGCCAAGAAAGTACCCGATTCTTCTGGATATGGTGAAGCATGTGACTGCATAAGTCCCCATGCACACTGGATGTTTTTACAGTTGCTGTTTTTGGCTTTTGACTTTTTTTCTACAGCTACTAAACCCCCACATAGACTGTAATCAACATTTTTTGGCTGGAAAAAAAAAACAGGACTAGTTGGTTTCTAGAGGAGTTTTGTAGCTGTAAAAACGCTTGAACGCTGAAAAACATGGTAAAACACCACAAACTGGCGTTTTTGGACTTTTTTTGACCAAAGAAAAACCTTTTTTATTGGTTAAAAAAACACTAAAAACCATAAACGTGGGAAACCGCCACTAAACGCTAATTAAAAAATGCTGAAAAACTCACGTTTTTAACGTGACTTTACACAGCTAACGTTCCCAGCATTATCAAAATGTCCCGTGTGCATGAGTGCATGATTGACCAGAGCTGTCACATGGAGGAGTCCTTATCCCTTTGTGTAAGATCCAACTAGTGTGACTTTTGGCTGAACAGAGCAGTAGGGAGTGATGGAAAGGCAAAGGGTAGCACAGTGGCCTAATGGTTAGCACTTCTGCCTTGCAGCACTGGGGTCCTTGATATGTTTCCCAGGTAGAAGTCTCCATGGAATGCTCATGTTCTCCCTGTGCTTGTGTGAACTTCTTAGTAGTCTGGCTTTCTTCCACACTTCATAGACATGCTGTTAGCTTAATAGGCCCTAGTTTTGTATGCTTGTGTGGGTATGTATGTATGTATGTATGAACTTGCATTGTAAGCTCCATGAGTGCAAGGGCTAATGTGAATGTTCAGTATGTAAAGCGCTGCATGAAATTGTCGGAACTATATAAATCCCTTAAACAGCTGGGGAAGGCACATTAATGTGAATCTACCACTCAGCACAAATTCTCTTTAAGAAACATAATGGTCTGCCAGATTTCACAGGTTTTTCATTTCTCCTTTTATTTTTCAATAAATGTGCCTAGCTGGTCCATTCCACTCGTTCTAATAACATGCACAAGTATAAATGTAAAGCGTTTCAGAGAAGTCATTTTAGTGAAAGATATACAGGGAATTGCCATCTGCCGATCCCCTGAAACTGCTAGTTCTTTGGCTGTCATGCTCATCTTCAGGCTTTAATGCTTTTCTGCACTGCTCACTCAGAACAAACATGCATATCAGGACTTTTTAATGTTTGCTGGTGGGTCAGTGACTAAGAAAGTATTGGAGCCAGGAAATGGGCATACCGGGACTTTTTAATGTTTTCTGGTGGGTCACTGACTAAGAAAGTATTGGAGACAGGAAATGGGCATTCCGGGACTTTTTAATGTTTGCTGGTGGGTCAGTGGCTAAGAAAGTATTGGAGCCAGGAAATGGGCATTCCGGGACTTTTTAATGTTTGCTGGTGGGTCAGTGGCTAAGAAAGTATTGGAGCCAGGAAATGGGCATACCGGGACTTTTTAATGTTTTCTGGTGGGTCACTGACTAAGAAAGTATTGGAGACAGGAAATGGGCATACTGGGACTTTTTAATGTTTGCTGGTGGGTCAGTGACTAAGAAAGTATTGGAGCCAGGAAATGGGCATACCGGGACTTTTTAATGTTTTCTGGTGGGTCACTGACTAAGAAAGTATTGGAGACAGGAAATGGGCATTCCGGGACTTTTTAATGTTTTCTGGTGGGTCAGTGACTAAGATAGTATTGGAGACAGGAAATGAGCTTACCAGCCAGGCAACTGGCATTATCAGGAGATTAGCCTTGAAATATATATCCATATTTTTCACATTTCACACTTTTACCAGACCTACGGGGGGCGATTTACTAAAACTGATGCACAAAGAATCTGGTGGAGCTGTGCACGGTAGCTAGTCTGCTTCTAACTTCATCTTGTTCAAATAAGCTTTGACAATAAAACCGGGGGGAGCTGATTGGTTATTCTGCAGAGCTGCACCAGATTTTACACCCTCCATTTTTAATAAATTTCCCCCTTTGAGTCATAATAACCTATGGGAGGCTTTTGGAGTGCATATATAAATTATGAACACAGGTTGGTGGCTCTAAAGTGAAGGACGTATTCAGAAATCAATGTAGAATCCACATCTCATACTTGATGCCTGTGTTTGTTACTTATTAAGGGATCTATGAGCAGATTCACATAGACGCATGTATACATATAGTGCCTATAAGAAGTATTCACCCCCTTGGAAGTTTTAATCTCCCACAGTGGCAAGGTAGGAGTCTAGATCTGAATCCAGTAGAGAGTTATGGTTGGACTTACCATAGTCTGTTCACTCACAATCCTCATGCAGTCAGACTGATCTGGAGCTGTCCTGTAGGGGAATGGGGGGGAGTTTCAGTGCCCAGTTATGCAAAGCTGATAAAGACCTATACACACACTGGAGGCTGTAATTGCTCCCAGAAGTGCACCTACTAAATACTAACTTTAAGGGCCCGTTAACATTGTGTTAGCACATGCTTGTTAGTGCATGTTGTGCTAATTCATTAATGTGCATTGCATTAGGCCAGGCAACTCATTCAAATGGGCTGCCTAACATACCAAAAAGCACTGAAAAATGTGCATTTTCAGCAGCTCACGACACCATGTGTTAGTGTGTTTCCTTGTGCTGCAATGCAGGTGTGTTGAGAAGGCAGTGCAGTGCAAGTGCATTGATGTCAGAATGAATATTACTGCATTACACTAACACTTGTAACACATGCTACTATGCATTGCTGTAGTGCCATGGTGTGAAGGGACCCTCAGGGTCCCCTTGGGCAGCTAGACAGTGGGTGGTCCTATAATTATTATTATTATACACAGTATTTATAAAGCGCCAATAGTTCGCTCAGCGCTGTACATTACAAAGGGGGACAGAACATGTGACAGAACAATACCAATACAATGCAAAACATGAGGGGATTCGATGGGCCCTGCTCTTTCAAGCTTACAATCTAGGAGGGAGGGGATGGTGGCACAGGAGGAGATAGCTGTGGGGGATGGAGTGGTAGGAAGAGTGGAGGAGGTCCGCAAGTTAGCAGGGGGCAGGGTAGGCTTCCCTGAAGAGATGGGTTTTCAGGGTGCGCCTAAAGGAGAGGAGAGTAGGTGATAATCTGATGGGTTGGGGCAGGGAGTTCCAGAGGATGGGTGACACCCTGGAGAAGTCCTGGAGGCGGGCATGGGAGGAGGAGACCAGGGAACTAGAGAGAAGGAGGTCTTGTGAGGAGCGGAGTGTGCGTGCTGGGCGGTACTTGGATATTAGGTCAGTGATGTAGAAGGGGGCAGTATGGTGGACAGCTTTGTACGTCAGCGTTAGGATTTTGAATTTGATCCGTTGCGCAATCGGAAGCTATAAGCACCACTTAGCTTGTAAAAGTCAATTTAAAAAGTGACTGAGCCAGGTGGAAATTTATCGGCCAAACAGTAACTGTGTCCTATCAGATGCAGTTACTGTTCAGGTACTCAGACACCCGTGGGTGTCACAA